TGTATTTAGTTTTATTATTATTATTATTATTATTTGAGAGAGGGAGAGAGTGCGTGCTTGAGTAGGGGTGGGGGCAGAGAGAGAGAGAGAGAGGGAGAGAAAGAATCTCAAGCAGGCCCCATGCTCAGCATAGAGCTCAACAGGAGGCTCGATCCCACAGCCTAGGATCATGCCCTGAGCCAAAACCAAGAGTTGGACATTCAGCCAGTGGAGCCTGCATACTTAGTTTGTACATTAATTATAATGATCGTTTTCAGAGTTCTTTTCTGTGAGCAAACTTTATGGAACTTTACTCGTATAGTACAGGAATGTGCATTTCCCATAGTTTACGTGCGCTGGATGATGGAGAACATGGAGGGGTCATACTTTTCACTTACTAGAGGCAAGTGCATTTTTGGATATTTAAGTGTTCCATTTACCTTGGAATTTGGATTCAAGGAAAACTGTGTTGTAAACTGCTTTTCAGACTAGAAACAAGTGATCTTTACCAGAGGAGGGCTGTCGCTGGAAAGCAAAGGGAAGTAAATCTGATATGATAAGAAGTACAAATGGCAGTTAAAATGAAAAGGTGCTTTATCTCATTAGTATTTAGAGAAATCTTACTTATGTTTTTGCTTATCAGATTGGACATTAGAATTTTTAAAAAGTTATTTAAAAATAGTATTGGCAAGAGTATTAGGAAAATGTAAGTTCTAGTACTCTGGTAGGAGTATAAATTGGTATAACCCTTTGGAGGGTAGTTTGGTACTATCTAACAAAATTTAAAATACTTATACTCAGTAATTTTACTTCTGTGCTACAGAGTGTCCATAAGAAGGAAAGACTGCTTCCTACTACATTTTATGGGGCTAGGATAATCTGATAGCAAAAGCCAGACAAGGATAGTACATAACAGGAAAATCAGAGGCGAATTTACTTAAACATGGATGGAGAAAACCCCAGAATAGAATCCAGCAAAGTACTGTATTCATCCTAAGAATTCAAGGTTGGGTTAATATTAAAGGCTAGAAGGAGGTGATAACATTTTAAAGTACTGAATGAAAAAACTGCCAACCAAGAATTCAAAATCTGGCAAAGGTATCCTTTAAGAATAAAGGAGAGAGGGGCGCCTGGGTGGCTCAGTCAGTTGAGCATCGACTTTGGCTCAAGTCACTATCGCATGGTTCGGTTCTTGAGTTTGAGCCCCCTATCAAGTGAGCTCGGGCACTGGGCTGTGCACTGTCTCTCCCTCCCTCTCTCTCTCTCTCTCTCTCTGCCCCTCATGGGATTCTTTCTCTCGCCCTCTCTCTCTGTCCCTCAATCACTTGTGTGCACGCACGCACACTCTCACTCAAAAATAAATAAATTTTAAAAAGAATGAAGGCGAAATTAAGACACTCTCAGATAAACAACATTTCAGGGAGTTCATCGCTAATAGACCTTCTATACAAGAAATGCTGAAGGGAGTCAGGCTCACTGCAGACCTATTGAATTTACTTTCTGGAGTAGGGCCAAAGAACATATATTTTAAACAAACCCTCCTCTTTATTCTTACACACCAGAAACAAAAACTCTACAATAAGGTACCATTTTCTATCTAGCAGATTGGTAAAAACTAAAAAGAAAAAAGCCCTGTGATATCTACTGCTTGCCAGGATTTGGTGTAGTGGAAACTCTTGGTGGATGTGTGAATTGGCACAACTACTTTGGAAGACAATTTGACATTGCCTTGTGAAGTTAAAGATGTGTAGACCGTGTAAAGTTGTACAGACCACTAATGGAAAGAAGACACCTACATGGATGTTCACAATGGCTGTTTGTAGTAGCAGAAGCCTGGAAACAGTCCAGATGTTTATTGAGAGGAGAAAAGATTTTTAAAACTGTGGTATAGGGGCGCCTGGGTGGCTCAGTCAGTTAAGTGTCCGACTTCGGCTCAGGTCATGATCTCGCGGTTTGTGGGTTTGAGCCCCGCATCGGGCTCTGTGCTGAATGCTACCTTAGAGCCTGGAGCCTGCTTCAGATTCTGTATCTCCCTCTCTCTCTGACCCTCCCCTGCACTCGTTCTCTCTCTTTCTCTCTCTCTCAGAAATAAATATAAAAATTTTTTTTAAAAGCGTGGTATAAATTGTGTGTGAAAATGAATGCACCAACGTGCAGCTGAGAAAGCAAGTGCTTTCGTAAGGCACTTTCATAAACCGTAAGGCACATTTTGTTAGGGATATATACATTTCTAGTGAAACTGTAAAGAAAAGCGGATGATAAAAAATTATGGGTAGTAGTTAACACTGGAGGTTGGGGCAGGGTTTCGGTGGCCATAGTGATGTGAACTAAGATGGTTACACGGGTTTATATTTTATTTTCTTATACCTCACTCATTATGTTATTTTAGATGTAGCAAATACTAGAAATCATAGTACAAATGTTGCAGACTAGATAAAATACAAACATCCGTGCTATGCTACTGTTGAAAAGAATGATGTGATTTTGTGTGTTCTGAGTCAGCGCGAGCCTTTTGTTCCCTCCGTGGCTTTTATCCCTCATGTAACATTTGCAGTTTGTCTTCCTTTGGTGGGAGGGATAGTGTCTTTTTCCACTTAAAAATGAAATCCGTTAGGGCTGAGTTTTTTTTTTTTTTTCTTTAAAAAATTTTATTCATTTCTGTATCTTTTTTTTTAAATTTTTTTAATGATTTATTTATTTCTGAGAGAGAGAGAGAGAGAGAGGCAGCATGAGCAGGGGAGGATCAGAGAGAGAGGGAGATACAGCATCTGAAGCAGGCTCCAGGCGCTGAGCTATCAGCACAGAGCCCGACGCGGGGCTCGAACCCACAAACTGTGAGATCATGACCTGAGCTCAAGTCGGACGCTTAACCGACTGAGCCACCCAGGCGCCCCTATTCATTTCTGTATCTTAACAGTTCCCAGAAAGTGTTTGGGACAGAGTACATGCTAACCAAACATTTGTTGAATGAGTGTGTGTGTGTGTTTGTGTGTGTACACAGATATTTAAAGATTGGAATTCTAAGCCCCAAATTAACCGCTGGGTAGGAGTGAAGAATTAGGGGTAGGAACTGGTCATGGCTAAATGGAGACTGTATTGCACTTTGTATTTTATATCCTGCATTTGTATTGTTCTAACTTTGTGTAGTTTTAAATTAAAAAGGAAAGAAACATCTTTGAAAATCAAGAAGCAAAATGCAAACTGGAAAGAATGGCAAAAAATAACATTACTGACAAATCTAAACAAGAATTGCTTAATTCCAAGAATTGAGGATGTTAGGTTGAGACTACAGTTGGGACTGGAATGAGCTCAGCTCTCACAGGCAGCTATGCTGCGGACCCTTTCTCTGAGTGCTTCTAGACGTGGCTGTTGTTACCTTGAGTCTCTGGAAGAAATTATCAGTCTGGAGATGAGGGGCTGTGAGGATTTTAAGACCTAAGGTCATGTGCCGAGCAGTTTTGTGTCCCTGTTATTATATATACATTAAATAATAAGTATTTCTGTTTGATCTAAAACTTTGAAACAAAACAAAAAGGCAGGATGTGACCATGGTTGTGTACTTGATTGGATAGAGTGAAATAAGTAGTGTTGTTCTATGGAACTCTTAAAGTGTGTCCGTGTACAGGTAAACAGAATTCAAATTATTTTAGTGGTGGTTTGTTTTTTCCGTTCACTCTTTGTTGAATAATTCCTTTGCCACACCCAATAAACCCACAGCCTGAGCCCCCAGTCCTCTCCCCATACCGCCAACAGCAACCTTTTAGTGATAAAATAGAAGTATGAACAGCAGAATGGTCTCACAGACATTCTGCTCTGCTCTGTCACAGCCTCGACAGCACCCCTTTCTGATGCAGCTTCTAGATCAGAGAAGTATCTTACAGACCTCTGTCTCCACTCTGTGGTGATGATGCTTTTTTACAAGTGTGTGTAAATATATCCATTAAGTCTTAGGTTTTTTTTTTTTTTTTTTTTTTTAATATTTTTATTTATTTCTAGGAGAGAGAGAGAGAGACAGCGCGAGCAGGGGAGGGTCAGAGAGAGAGGGAGTCACAGACTGAAACAGGCTCCAGGCTCTGAGCTGGCAGTCAGCACAGAGCCCGACGCGGGGCTCGAACCCACGAACCGCGAGATCATGACCTAAGCGAAAGTCGGACGCTTAACCGACTAAGCCACCCAGGCGCCCCAAGTCTTAGGTTTTTATATAGTAGAAATGCGGATGTCATTTGTGATAGAACACAAGAATACAACATTGGCCCAAATGGTTGATTATGCTTAGGACAGAGTCCATGATCATCTCTGGCTCACGTTTTTACTTCAGAAGGGAAACTGGTCAGCGGCATGTGAATATGAGCTTAGTGTTAAGGAAGGCATCTAGTGTTTGGTTTGCTTTCTATGTGAAGGAAATTAAGTTTCTCAGTATGTAAGCCCCACCCTCCATGCATCCATTTGAAAGCTATCTCTTTTCTCCTCCATAGAATGGAGAAAATGTATACTTTAATTTTTTGAAGTTTATTTATTTATTTTGACTGAGAGCGAGCGAGCAAGCATGCATGTGAGTGGGGGAGGGGCAGAAAGAGGGGGAGAAAGAGAGAATCCCAAGCAGGCCCTGCATTGTCTGCGCAGAGCCTGATGCAGGGCTCGATCCCATGAACCATGAGCTCATGACCCTTAAGCCTAGATCAAGAGTCTAACGCTTAACTGACTGAGCCACCCAGGCGCCCCAACATATACTTCTTTAGTTTGGAGCTGCTTAATTTCAGAGTGTTAAAAATTATTCCTCTCTTACTCTTGAATGCAGAGAACAAACTGAGGACTGATGGGTATGGGGCGGGGGGGAGAGATGGGCATGGTGGAGGGCACTTGTGGAGATGAGCACCGGGTATTATGTGGAAACCAACTTGACAATAAACTATTTGTAAAAAAAAAAAATTATTCCTCTCTTTTTTCAGTATTTATTCTTACCATTTTCTCTTTCCTGTGATTTTGCAGTGAGTAATGTGTTCTATTCTGTTTTTTACTAGCTCTGGGAGCATTTGGACCACACGATGTTTTTCCCAGATTTTAGACCATTTCTAAGTAGCAATCCACTGGACCAAGATAATAGAGCCAATGAAAGGGGTCACCAAACTCATACTGACTTCTGGGGACCAAGTCGGCCTCCCCGGCTGCCAATGACTCGAAGATACAGATCACGGGGAAGTACTCGTCCTGATAGATCCCCAGCTATTGAAGGGTGAGTGAGTGCTTTTTTCTTTGAGTTCTCTTTAAAGGTAGTTTCAATGAAGGATGTATTGACATAATCTAATCCTTATAAGGTTCTTCTACTTCTTACCTTTATAGACAAGATGGATATACATAGAAAGAATGAAGGTGAAGTTAACTTGAATGTCTGTACTCAACTGCTACCAGTTAATGAGTGATGATAAACTAAAGGATGATGAACTAATGATATAGGTCTCTGGTTAATTTTATTATTTATTTATTTATTTTTTAATATTTTTTATTTATTTCTAGGAGAGAGAGAGACAGCGTGAGCAGGGGAGGGTCAGAGAGAGAGGGAGTCACAGACTGAAACAGGCTCCAGGCTCTGAGCTGGCAGTCAGCACAGAGCTCGACGCGGGGCTCGAACCCTCAAACCACGAGATCATGACCTAAGCGAAAGTCGGTGGTTAATTTTATTATTATGTCTCAGATTAATATATAGGTGATACATTGGTTTATGAAAATTTCAGAAGATACAGAAAGAGATATCCAGTGTATTGGATGACATTAGGATTCTAAAAGACCTCAGCAAGCTGGAGCAATAGACTTAATATGAAACTTCCTAGGGATAAATGGAGAGTCTTGTCTAGTGTATTAGACACTGGAGGGCTCACTTTGGCAGCACATGTGCTAAAATTAGACACTGGAGAAACAGTGGGGAGCAAAACAGGTGCTGGCCCTTGATCTCATGTAGGAATAATCAACAGATTTTGTAAATGTTTGCCATGTGCATAGGATTGTGCTCAGTGCTTTATCTGCTTCTCTTACTTAATCTCCGTGGATTAGTAGGTGCTATTACTATTCTCGATTTATGTAAGAATAAACTGAGACTCAGATAAATAAAATAACCTGGGTCAGTGGTAGATCCAGGATTACTTGAACCCAGAGATATATAAATCTAATGCTGCATGGCAGTCACTAGCCACAAATGATTATATCAATTTAAATTAATTAAAAGTTAATAAAACTCAAAGTTCTTCAGTCACGGTAGCCACATTTCAAGGGCTCAGCAGCTACAGATAGCCAGTAGTGACCATATTTTACAGCACGGATTATAGAACATTTCCATTTTGTCAGCAAGTCCTGTTGGACAATACTGTTCTAGAGCCTATCCCTCACACATACATACACCTAGATTTTATTACTAATATTTTACTGTACTTATCACATATCTATCTATCTGTTTGTCCATTAGTTCATAGTATATCTTTTAAATTTCAAAATTAGTTGTACACATTTCTTCTTAGGACAGTAATAAGATACAGGAAATCTACCAATGAGATTGTCTAGGACAAAAGATCAAAAGATCTGAGACCATTGTGAGAGTTTATGGTGCTCAGAGGTAAATCTGTGCCTTACTGCATATAGATTACTTGCTCTCCCTAGTGTGGATCGCGTTGTTGAACTCAGCCACAGTTCTTCTCAAATTTTACCTCCTATGCATTTTTGTCTCCTACCCACTGAACTGCCAACTTTGGACCCGTGCTGTGGTCTGCTTTTCCTTGCTCCCCCGGGGGGACGGCTGAGTATGCTGGAGGAGAATTGTTAGGTGTGCCCACTGATGCCTTGCAACTGGCAGAGTAGAGTTAATCTCCGTTAGACCGTCAGTGCTTTTGATTAGTCTTTTAATTTGCATGCCCCTCAGGAAATCGTTTGATCTTTTGCCACATCTCACCCCAGATTTCCTATCTGGTAGGCCAGTTGTCAGCAGCTGACTGGTGTTCTTCATTTTGAAAATCGAGGCCTTAGACCTAAACTCCCAAAAACCCTGTGTCCATTGTCTGCGCTTAATATTTATTTCTCCTTCCAATCTCCTGAGATGAGGTATCCTTTCTTTGTTTTCAAAGTAACTCCATCCATCAGCCCATGTTCCTGACTTATTCTGTGCCTATTTCTTCCTGAGATTTCATTTCATCCATTTTCTTCTCTTTGCTCCCCTTTTCCCCTTTGCTACCCCTCCTCCCCCACTTCAGCACCATGGTTTTCAACACTGGCTGTACATTAGTGTCCCTGTGGATGTTTTAAAAAACACTGATGCCTGGTCCCTGTCCCCAAGGATTCTGATGTAAGCATTCTGAGTGAGATCCAGGCATTGGTAATTTTTGAAACCTCTGAGGTTATTCTGATTGTAGCCAGAGTTGAGAACCAAGTAGCTAAATTACTGCCCAATCTTATTTCCTTTCTTGTTCAATAAAATTTCCTAAGAGGAGTCTGCATTTATTTTGTGTACTTTCTCATCTCTCATTATTCCTATGCTACTATAATTTGGCCCTCCTATCACAAAGGTCTCTGGTGACCTTCTAGCTGCAGACCCAGTGGGAACTGCGAAATCTTCATTGTATGCGTCTAATTTACTGAATTCAACATTTTCCCCCCTCTTGAAATTCTCTACTCTGACTTCCATGACAGTAAGTTTTCTTGATTTACCTCTTCTCAGACATTTCCTTCTTGTGGATACTTCCTAAATATTTTGTTTTCCCAAGGTGTTTTCTTTATTCTGATTTTCTCTAGTCTGCAACAGGGTTCTTAGCTTTAGGACTTACTGACATTTTGGGGTACATAATTCTTTGTTGTGTGGGGACTCTCCTGGCTTCTGCCTGCTGCATGTAGTAACCATCACCCCCATCCCTCCATTTATTTATAACAACTAAAAATGTCTTCAGAAGTTGCCAAATGTCCCTTGAGGGAGCAAAATTGTCCCTGGTTGAGAACCACGGCTCTATAAGCTCTCTGGCCATTCTTAGGTTCTCTCACAATTCTAATAATTACCTGTATACTAAAGACTCTCAGATCTTTATTTCTGTTTTCCCCCTAGTTTAAGACTTGGATATATAACCTCTTATTAGCATTTCCATCTGAATGTTCTATAGATACTCCAGCCTCACTGAGATGGAAGCTAAATTCTTTTCTTCCAAACCTGATTCTTTTTCTTTATCTGGTTTTGGTTGGAAGTAGCACTCTCTACCCAGTTTAGAAACTGAGACATTAACCTAGAATCTTTTCTTTGTCTCACTCAGCTCTCCCGTATATTATAAACACACACACACACACACACACACACACACACACACACACACACACACCTCAAGTTAGTCATTAATTCTTCCTGATCTTTATTTCCTATTTCTCAAGTCCTGTGTTTTTTTTTTTTTTTTTTTTAATATTTTTATTTATTTCTAGGAGAGAGAGAGACAGCGTGAGCAGGGGAGGGTCAGAGAGAGAGGGAGTCACANTTAATATTTTTATTTATTTCTAGGAGAGAGAGAGACAGCGTGAGCAGGGGAGGGTCAGAGAGAGAGGGAGTCACAGACTCTGAAATAGGCTCCAGACTCCGAGCTGGCAGTCAGCACAGAGCCCGACACGGGGCTCGAACCCATGAACCGTGAGATCGTGACCTAAGTGAAAGTCGGACGCTTAACTGACTAAGCCACCCAGGCGCCCCTCTCAAGTCCTGTTTTGTATAACCATTTCCCCTGTAGTTCACATCCACATCTTTTCTTACTTGCCTACACTATTGCATTAGCCTCCTGCCTCTCCTCCTTCAGAGTACTCCTGTACTACCCTTGCAGGGTCATCTACCTACATTTTCAGACCAGTATCACTTCCCTGTATAACATCCATTCTCATAGTGTTCATAACTCACATACAAGGTCCTCTATGTTTTTGGACTCTCCCAGCCCCCGTAGCCTTGTTTCCTGTCACTTCCTGCTTTTCTTTTATTCTGCCAGTATAAAACTTACAATCCCTACATACACCATGCTGTTTCTAGCTTCCTTATGCTTGTTTAATCTGTTTTCTCTGGCAGAAATACCTTTACTATCTTTCTTTCTTTTTTCTTTAATGTTCATTTATTTTTGAGAGAGAGAGTGCAAACCGGGGAGGGCAGAGAGAGAGGGAGACACAGAATCTGAAGCAGGCTCCAGGCTCTGAGCTGTCAGTACAGAATGCAGTATGGGCTCGAACCCATGAACTGCGAGATCATGACCTGAGCTGAAGTCAGATGCTTAACTGACTGAGCCACCCAGGTGCCCCTGACCTTCCTTAGTTTTGAGTCAAGTTTAGTTGTTGTCTACCCGCCCCACAGGATGTCCATTCATTTGCATTTGTCTGAGTATTTCTTTGTTCAGATTAAATATCTGGACAAGAATACAAATAAATGATGTATCCTTCTCAGTGTATCCCAGCAGAGGAGGCACATGATGCTACTTGTCCTGTCCTGGGTAATGTTAAGTTTGACCGTTTGGCTAAGGCGGTGTCTGCCAAGTTTTTCTTATAAAGAAAAATTTACCCTTTTCTTTTGTAATTAATAATTTGGAGTGATACTTGGATATTAAATGAGTATCTACTTCCTAATATTTTTAAACTTAATATATTAAAATCTGTTGATGATTCTTGCCTGAATTATTACTATAATGGCTATAAAATAGTGATTTTTCTATTTCTGTGATTCCTCCTACAGATATCTACTGTAAAAAACTTTTTTCTTTCCCTTGCCCTGTCATCAGTGTACTTGTTTATTTTAGCATGGACTCATGGATTTTATATTTATTTATTTTTCATTTTGATGCCAGTTTCTCCAGAGTAATTGGATCTAAGCTTTGGAGGCAGCCATCCTTGTTCTGTAAATTAATAATAGAGTTGGAGTGTCAGAGTCAAGTGATCAGCTGTGTTTCTCTGATTATTAGCTGATAATACCTGGCCTACTGGATGAGCACGGCTTCTATTGGGGTGCCTGTAATGGAAATAAAGTTCTTTCAAGGAGATTTTTTTAGTTGCTAAATAGGAATGGGGAGACTTATTCTAATTTGTCCTTTTGGCTGTGTGAATACTTAAAAACACTATATGAATGCCCTTGGGCAGCCTTATATTTTGTCTGTAAACTGAGAGAGGAGAAGCTAACTGACATTTATTAAATGCCTAGAATTTTTCAGGCACTCAGCTATATACATTCTTCTCACAGAGCCCTGGAGC